TATATATACATTTTCAACCTTTCCACTTTCCTTAAGTAATTTTCTAAAGATCTAACTCAAATACAAAATCCCTGGAAATATAATTAGAAAGCTAATTTCTATTTCAACTCTGTTTTGTATGAATAAAATTGTAAAGCTTTTAATGTGTTTATTGACCACAGTGCACAAAAAGGTTATCATAATAAAATATGACAATGCATCTTTTCCGTAAATAATGATGTATTTTGATGAAATCTCATGGTAATTTTCAGTACCAGTACACAAAATTATTATACACTGTTCAAAGCATAATCCACAGGCATATTGGATTAAGTGCTGATGAATAACATCTTCTCACTGGGGCAATAAGAAGGAACTAAACAAGTGTTTCTCAACCTATTATTGCACCCGTCATGAATTATATGACTAGTCTCGCTAAACTCTAATTCTAATAATTATTTAAGGTACTAAGACTTGCACCCCCTACAAAAGTAAAGATGCATTTTAAAAAGTGAAAATAATGCACTTCTAATCTATTTATTGAAATGCAAACAGAACTTTACAATTAAGAGAGAAAAAAACTTGTGACTTATTACCTAATGGAAAATGTTAATGAAGAAAAGTGTCCAAATGTAAGCGTATAACTTAAAATGTAAAGCTTGTGTTTCCTCTGCTCATATAATAATCCCATTTCCTCATAACCCAGGTTTGGAAACCTTTGAAATCAATAAATCTCCTTACATAACATGTAATCAAGAATTTACAAATATTTTTCCTGATGGTGTATTATAAAAATTCTAAAAAATTATATATGTATGATAATAAATTTGGTAAACAGGAATGGTATTGGTATATGGATAATTAGGACTGCAAGATGTAAATTATGTAATCATGAAAGAAAACTGCTCAGTGTGACAAATAATGATGTATGAAATCAAAGACAATGCTTGAAGTAGTTACAAACATGCATCTTTAATGTTCATGTATTGGAGGGTATTTTTTTAGCTCTGAAGTAAGTGAATTTGAATCACAGGGAAAGGTGGTAATAAACAAGAGTGTGTATATCAGGAACTTGTGAAGACTAAATTTAATTTAAAAATGAATGGACAAATTATGTAAGGTATAATGTCTGAAGTATCATTGAAATCCTATGAAGGGCTTTCTAATCACTTTGATTATATATCTTGAATAGACAATTCAGAAATTATTTTGAGAAGTGCTACATCAAGTGTCTCATATCCAACAAGATATTTAGAAAAGAATTTGAAATAAAATTATTATGAAAGAATATAGACATACAGCTAGTGCTTGACTTACAACCTATGCAACTCACGACCATTCGACTTTATGACCACATCGAAAATTATGATTTATAACAATAATAAAAGAAATGTATGATATAATTTAACTTAAATATTTTTATAACATCACTTCAAATTACTGTACACATAGCGTACTCAACTTACGACCAAATCGTGTTACAACCGGTCTGTCGGAACCGATCATGGTCATAAGTTGAGCACTGGCTGTAATACAATTATAATGTACAGTACAACTTTTTATCACAAGCCTTTAATAAATAATACTCTGATCTTTCATCAAACCTATTTAAAATGAGATATTCTGAAAAATGTGTTGATTATGCAAAATTAAATGACAAATAGTTAACTATAATCAAACTGTTAATTGTGCATGCTTAGCTTGACCTTTTCAATTTAAACTAGGGATGTCAAAATCATTTTTTTGGCAAACCAGTTTTCTGTTTTAGAAAATTGGTTTTGGGTTGTACAATCAGGACTGAGTCATGGGCATAATTTATTTTTTTTCTGAGAAAAAAATGAATAATGCAGGGGGGGTGTGGGGGGGGGGGGGGGGGTTATGGGGGACTGCTTTCTCCACTCTTGTTGACATCTATCGCCAATAAATGAGGGGACCACTTTTCCCCATTATCCAGTCACAATTGGTAGTTAACGTCAGCTTATATCAATAAAGAGTGACTAACAATTTTATGCCTTATGGTGAACTTATACAGCATCTTTATTTATTCAAAATAACAAAAGTACATTTACTTTTTTTGTATAAAAAAAGTAATTTTTTAAATCGGTTCATGAAAATCAAAATTGGTTTTTGGTACCGTACTAAAAATCCTGTTTTTGTTAAACATCTTTTTAAACTAATAAACAATGAAAAAGAAATGACCACCCTTTTAAAAATGAGTTCACTCTTCTGATCATCTAGAACAGTGGTTCTCAACCCGTGTGTCACGACCCCTTACACAGGTGTCACTTAACTCTTTCGCTGCGGAATTTTTTCATCGAAAAAATGTAAGCGGAAAAAGAGTGATAGGTTGGGTTTATTAAAAAATATTTTAAATATTATTCTTTGGTTTATAAGACTAAACTTAGTATCAAATGAAAAGTAATTGAAAGGACTATATATTTGTACACTAGTTTCTACAGTTTAAAAAAAATAAGTTACACGAAAGAACCATAAAATGTGAAAACATTTTATGCTAAACCATTTTTCCCCAAACCCAATGATATACGCATACCTCATCTTCAATTCTATAACTCAATTCCTCTAAAACTACTACCATCGGAATCATGCGATGTATCTAAATATAAATCATCTTCGCTGTCAAAAGAAATATTATAAAACAATTTCAAAGCTTTTTTTAACTGTTAATCGTCTAGGAAACTTACCTACTAGAGCCTAGGGTAGCCATAGCAACAGTAAAAAAAACAAAACGCGAAGAAAATCGTCAAAATAATGCTTCAATTGACAATAAATAAGCCTTGGTTTCGATTGTAAACAATGAAGTGCCACTCTTCTATGTAAAAGTCTTATTTAAAAATAGCTCTTAAAAAGTTTAACCGAGAAATAGCAAAGAAAGAAACATGATATTGAAACAACGCACAGCGCGTTGGTCCGTGCTTTTGAGAACGGCGGAAGAACACAGTGTGCGTTGTTCCGCATCGAAAGAGTTAATACCATCGAGAAAATGTTTATGAAGTAGTAACTAAAATAATTTTATGGTTAGTGGTCACCACAGCATGAGAAACTGTATTAAAGGGTCGTGGCATTAGGAAGGTTGAGAACCACTGATCTAGAAAATAAGTCACCTTATTTAAATGAGGCTAGTTTTGATGGATTTATATTTTTAAAACTTATAATTCAATTTGTGACATGTATGTACAATTATTTCATGCCCTTAGCATTCAATAATATTTATTTTATTGTACCGGTACTCACTACATAATTCCATCTAATATTTGCATAACTTGTAACTTGTTATATAAAGAGAGAGTGGATATAAATTTAGAAATGAATTTAAACTTATCAGTTATCAGCAATTTCTTTACTTTACTTAAAGTTCAATTGATAAATCAATAAAAAAAGAAATCCTTCTTAAACTGTTAAAATCGATCCTCCCTTTTTTTTTTTTAAACTGATTACTGGTGATCACTTTAAGATGTAGGTAATTTATTTCTCATAACTGCCTCCTTAATATTAAGTTAAAAATGTAGTGATGAAACACATATTTAATTTAAAAGTAAAAGGACATATCATATAACAATTTATTATAATGGTTATGGTGCAATGGAATCAATAAAAAAAAAGATAAGATAAAATAAGGTCATTCAGTCAGTTTTTAGGCCCTTTGAATGTACCGGTATAGTTTCTTGTGAAGTTGGGTTTGTGCAAGAACTGCTTGAATGGGTATCTCCATTTATAAAAGTTTTGTCTTTGGAATCGGAATCCTGAAATAAAAGAGGATAAAATATATAGGCAATATATTTAAATGTACAGTACATTTTTAAAAAAATATTTTTTTTTTAAACAGTCTTTCCAAAAATGTACTAAAAAGTATAAAATATATGTCCTTTAAAACTTCAGAGTTTTGAAGTCATATGACTATAATAGCCTGGGGCACTAACGAACTCAATGTTCTTCACAAAAACATACAGGAGTATCGCTAATTTCATTTCAATTTTCAAGATTACGATTGATGGGAGCATACAACAATAATGCAAGGCAGTTGTGAGAACTCTTCTTTTTTTTTTAAGTCCATGGTTCAATAATATGCATCATAACTATTGTGTCACATAACACTTACTTACTTGCAGTAATGCAAACATAAATAGTTGTCCAAAATTGCATTTTTCAAGTCATACGACATCATTGTATTTCATGGTTGCCCCATGATTCTCTAGGCACATGACTAACAACATACCCCGGTACTTTTATTTCAAGTATATTTTGGGAAAGGGTGTTTTTTAAAATATTTTTTTATTTTACAATAGGAGATCAGGAAGTGGAATGAAACGCATGACTAAAAAAAGTGTGGGGCATCCATGAAATACAAACACATGAAAAGTCAGTGATGACCTTTCTGTGGAAAAAAAGTTCTGTTGTCATCGTTGATGCATAAGGGATGAGGGAGTAACCATGCATAAGAAAAAGCTGCAGTGAAAACCCTATGTCCCTATCATTTTCCACTCCTGAGATATGTGCAGAGGTTACTCAAGGGTAAGTGGAGGTCACTGGTGACCTACGTGGAGGTCACTGGTGACCTACTGATCATGAAGGGTTTTATATTGTCACTAGAGGTGGGTAAGTATTATAAAGTTTCAGCTCAATTAAACATCATGAAGTGGGTAAAACTGAGATGCAATTTGACCTGCAGATGTCACTTAAGGTTAAGTGGAGGTCAATAGTGAGCTACTGAACAAGAAAGGTTGTTTTGTCATCAGGGGGGGTAAGTGTATAAAGTTTCAGCTCAGTTGCAGGTCAGGAAGTAGGTCAAAATTAAGATGCAAAATTCCACTAAAAACAAATGAACAGAGCAACCTAAGAAAAAGCATATAAAATATAAGCTTTAACTTTAAAAAATTGTTATCCCATATTGTTAGTCCTTTGCGTTCAAAGATGACCAAGGCAATATTCGACTTGAATAGTAAGCCTTGACTTGAGCTGTATTTTATTTAAAGTGAGGGAGGCTAGCTCAATCCCATAATGAACAATTAAAGAGCAATATCCACAGGGAGGGGGGATTAAAACGTATATAACAGGCATTAAAAAATATAGTAAAAGTAGCAAAAAATATGCTAAGTGAGTTGTACTGGTTAAAGTTAATGTTAAAAAAAAAAAAAAAAAAAACACCAGGGAAAGAAATTAGCACTAAAATTGATCGTGCAAAAAATTAAAACGTATATAACAGGCATTAAAAAATATAGTAAAAGTAGCAAAAAATATGCTAAGTGAGTTGTACTGGTTAAAGTTAATGTTAAAAAAAAAAAAAAAAAAAAACACCAGGGAAAGAAATTAGCACTAAAATTGATCGTGCTAAGAATTTCTTTGACAACATTTATTTTGAAAACAGCTAAATGGGTCCTCTATGCATAGTGATAATTAGGACTGTCACCAGGTATACACTTATGGCTAACTGCCCAGGCAATTTTTGGGAGCCTAATTTAAAGAAATTATTTTTTTAAAACATTAGAATTTTGTATCCCTCTACTGCCATTAGTGCCGGCTGTGGCCTCCCTAATTCCCACTAGTGCCTGCCTACTAGGCCGGGCAGTGGCACACCAGGTGAATTATCATGCGTGCTGCTCATTGGGGGTGCCTAGAAATTGAACTACCACACAATCGTTAGCTAAAATTTACTGCTGCTCTGGCGAGAAGGATGAAGAAACACTTAAATTTGTATCTTCTTTTGTTAAAAAGCAATGAGAGTTCAGCATGTCTTTCCAAGCTCATAGCATACGCGACAACATGCCAAGTTTAAGATACTAGTACTTTTAGATAATAATAGTTTCAGTAATGGCCCAAACAAAAAGAAGAATGGGGATATATTTTAGTAATGATTAGGACAGATTAAACTTTCAAAATGTAGCCTTTGAATCTGACCTAATGTAATTGCTTACCTGAATTTTCTGCCTCTTTTTCTTGGGCATTGGACAAGTTAGATTGCTTTCAACACTTTTGGCAATTTCAGCAGGCTTGTTCCAAAACTTTGACAGCCAAGGGCTGATAAATTTATGAAATACCCACAAGAGAAACGGAATGACAATGCAAGGAACACAAACCATCTTGTTTGTAGATGTAAATCAATTTAGACAGCCTGAAACTGAAAAACAAATTTAATGGAAATAAAAATCATAAATAACAATGTGAGATTATTTGTACAAGGCAAGACCTTACAGTAATTGTTAAATGAACAAAATCTATTTTCAATGAAGTTGCGAAGCAGTAGCTAGCTAGCAAAGCTATTCCTCCAGCTCAGAATACTAATTTAAAATCATATTTATGTTACTGAAGAAACTTTTAATGAATTTACTAAGTCAAATACATAATAATGGTGAGTAATAGCCTTGCGTGGTCATGTTTTTTTTGTGTATGTGTTACTGCATAAATAAAGCTATGTTTATGTCAATGACTTTATAATGGATTGGTTCGAATACAAAAAAATTGAGAACCACATTAATAATTGAATTAAAAATGTTTATTCCACATTTAAATGGTGTTTTACAACAACTGAAAGCTATCACTATCACAAATAGTGCCATTTGTGGCTGTGATATTATTTAGGCAACGCACAATTCACACTTAACAACAACACTTTCAACAGCATACTGAGTAATACTGCACACCAAATTTAAGTTCTGACAGTCAACACAACACTGCACTAGTCAACAAATAATTGAATTCAAGTTCAGCTATTAAAATGGTGGAAAAATTGGTAAATTAAAAAAAGGAGGTTTTAGTGTTATTTTAAAGTTTTGAAGTTTCTTCAACTTCAAGTGTGATTTGGGTCCGTGCCACTCCATGGTTTTGTTATAAGTATGTATGTCTATTGGGGAATTAATCATTAATGAAAGCTACCCCATCTTACAATTAATTTGAATTTTAAAAAAACAAAGTTAAATGCAAACCACTTAGTAAGTAACTTGTACCAGTAATTAGTGTTAGGCCCTAATTATTAATTTAATTAGCCAGCTTATTAATTTTAATATAAAGGCTAGGCTAATTAGACTAGACTACACAATTTATGATTACCTACTACTGCTAGTAGTACTAGTAGCCATATCTAGACCTAGGGGCCATCAGTAAAGTATGTCACGCTATATTTGGACAATTTTTACCCCCTCCCTTCTTTCTGTCACAAATCTCAGAAGCCCCCACCATGCTTTTTTTAAATAAAACTGTATGTCCCACTTTTGAACTAAAAAATTGCATAGTTATACATTAAATGTATTGTGTAATACAAATTTAATCTTCTGTCAGAATACATCTATCAGAACAGAAAGTTGAACATCACTGTCAACTTCAAGTTTTTGTACATTACCTCTTGAACTTTGGTTATTAAAAAATCATGTTCCAGTTTGAAGGGCTATTTAAACGGGTATTCTTTTATTGATAAGATAAAATTCTTTTATTGATCAATATAAATGGATTTTTATGATACTGTACATATTCATTTAATCACTTATGTAAAATACAAAATTTTTAAAATAGAAAAATTTAAACCATTTATTTTAATGTATGGTAAATAAACAGAGTTTGAGTGTTCATAGTTTCCATGCTGATCTGATTTATGTTTGCATAAGCCACCCATCCGTCCTATGCAACACGTGAGTCTGGAAGGATATATCTCTCTCTATACTGTGCACTGTGGGTGGTTAATTAATTATAATATTTCAGTTTTCCAGAATTTTAGTAAAGGGCATTGTATTGACTTCTGACAACTTCTTGATTTTATTTGTGAAGGAACCCCAAAAAGTGTTTTAAGGTGTACGGGTATTCTATGGAACTGTACGTTGGAATTTTATTATTTTAAAAATATTTTATATTGTTTTTCTTCATTATTACACTTTTCTTATCAATTTGTAACTGAAGCATATGTGACATGTGTTTTAGTGGACGGAAGAGAGCGACCACAGGTCGTTGACACTTCTTGTCGCATATCTAGGGGATACTAGGTACTTTGGTATAAAATTTTTTTAAATTATTAAAGTAGTAAAGTATATAATAGAGCAAACTTTCATTAAAATAATGAAACCATCTCCACATTCTGTGACCCGATTCCACTGTTCGTGTCACTCTCGTTTTAATGATCATTTTATATGACTTTTATTTTCAGAATTAATGCTGTATTAAAAAGTAATTTTAAAAATGTTGTATAATTATAATAAATTGTAACTTATCTAGCCATGCACTGTGTATATGAGTAAATTTAATATAATGTACAAAGTCCATTATACCGGAATATACTATAAAGTCTATATAAGGCAACGTATCCTCTTATTACTAAATGCTGTTCTAGGTCTACTTATTTTGAACTTTCAAATTTGGAACTTGACTAATTAATTAAAGCTTTCCCTGAGCAATGGTTTAATAGTTTTTGCACACTTCAAGTGGCTGTGAATGGTTGCCCATGACAACGTTTTGAACACTGAAAATTATAATAATTTATAATTATAATATGGACTTTATTGGATTTTTAAAACTCAAATTTAAATATTCCATTTTAAATGTCTTCAAAATTCATTCTGAAATACAGGTTATCAAATATTTTGATGTATATACCAGTTGTGGTAATAATTGAATATTTTCTAAGCTAAGTATTGGTGTCTTCCGCAATTTAAAAGCGGGCGTGGTCACTAATCCAAAATGGCCTGTGCGTCCTTTTAATAATGAGGTCTATGTTGAGAAGAATTGTGAAAATGTTTCATGAGCTAGTGCAATGAAATTTTTCACACATATACCTCAATATATTTTGCTCAAAAACAATTAGTATAAAAGACATACTTTTAATATTTCTATTGAATTTTTATGTTGAAAGATTCCTTATTCATACGATTTTTCTCAATTAAAGTTGATATAAAGACAAAAAGCTCAATGGGAATGTAGGTCAGCATGTCTCCTAATGTAAAAGGGCAGAGTCAGACCTTAATTATGGGTCAAAAGGACTCCTGTATTATTAAAACTAAACTCACAAAAAAAATGTAAAAACTCAGATTCCATTGCACTGATGGCCATTTCCGATAGAAATTACATAGTTTTCTCTCTTGTGTTACCAAAGTACCTATTAAAGTAACTCAACTCACCACGAAATGAATGTACCGGTACCTGCTGAAATTTTTACATTAATTTTGTTCCTATTTTCATTTCTCTCCATAAGAAGCTAAAACAGCATATGTCTCTTTCCCCTCCTTGTCTTGGCAGACATGTTTGTACTTTTTTTTTTTTAAATTACACAGCAGCCATCTTGGTTGGCATGAGTCATGATCCTTCAGGTAAACCAACATTTACCAAGATCTTAACCCCACCCTCTCACTGTGTCACAAACTGTCACACTTTCTTAGAGATCCACACTTTCCGGAGAGTGAGTGACTTACTGAAAAAAAAAAAAAATCCTATATGTACTCCCTAAACAACACAATACTCTAACAAGTATGAAATGATCCATACCTTGGAATTCTCTTCTCAAATAACCTAAAATAGTCACCCCATATAAACAAAATTTCACCAAAAAAAAACAACTCCACGCTAGGTTTCATTCAAAGTAATCTGTGCCACTGCCCAACCTCCTGCAAAGGAAATGCCTATCTTGCACTCGTCCACCCACTACAAGAATATGATGCGATCGTCTGGGACCCATACCTAAAGCAAGATGTGGACAAGATGGAGCGAATCCAGCGTAATGCTGTGCGCTTCATCACACGTGACTACAAATCCACCACTCTTGGCTTTGTCACTGACCTCTAAAAAGATTTGACATCCCCTCCCTCAAAGGCAGACAAGAAAAGCTCCGCATAACATTCTTATATAAAGTGGTCATGGGGCTAGTGCCAGCCATCCCAGCAAACACATATCTCATCCCACAGAAGCCAGGTCGCTTAATCAGAGCCAAACGCTCACTATACACTGACTTCACCTCTAACAACCCCATAAGCAATTACATCCGGAACAATAGAAAATGCTTTACTGTGCCTCGGTAAAATACAATCCAATATAAACAATCATTCTTCCCACGCACAATAATCGCTTGAAACGACTTGGACAATGCCGCCGTAAACTCGACATCAATCGAGAGCTTCCAGGCTGTCCTGGCATCCACTAGGAGCCGTTAGGATAGCAGCATCGCTTCCCCAACCGTTGCACATATGCCGGTACATTGATTCAGCAATGTATCCAACCATAGGTACTCCAACTCAAAATTTCAGATTCATCTGACATACACAAGGAGCATATCATTGGAAAGAGCTGACTTTAAGCTTTCCATTGACACCAAGATAATCTTTCTATCACTTGTAGAAGAAAAGTTATGAATTTTTTAGTGATTTATTTTTTCCCACTATTTGGCTTTGTATTTAATTTTTAAAACTGTGATCTAATTATTACTCTTTTTGTACTATTTTGGTTGTATCTTGTTGGCTTTTAAAGTTAGACTGCTCAAATTTGGAGAACACATTTACAATACAATGTTTAACAAAATTAAACACATGAATTTTGAATTAACTTATTATATTTTTTGAAAAAAATTTTTATAAGCATATAGCATGGATAACGACAATTGTCGAACAAATTTTTTTTTTCAAAAAATGACATAATTATTAAACCAATAAAGCTATCACTATGAAATTTTCAATACAAACAGATAATGTCCATCTAAAAGTAAGGCATATTTAACATAAATAAAATACAGATCAGAAAAATTTATGCAGTATTAGAAATAATATTTTATGAAAAGCAACTGCGGCCGAGAAATTTTTTACATTTAAATATACAACTTTTAAACTAATAAAGCTAATGCAATCAAATTTTCAGTAAAAATAGATAGTGTCCAACCAAATATAATAGAGTATTAAAATATATCAAAAGCAATTAAAATCATGCTATGCAAAATTTTAAAATGTCATGTAATCTGTCGACATTGTTTCGGCTCCGGAGGTCTAGCAACACTTCATCCTCATCAATTGGTACATTAAAAAAATATGCCTCCATTGTCAATATCAAATTGGGTTGTTTGTTGATCTCCTCCAAGTAAATACATATCAAAATTACAGGGAGTGATTACAATCTGTAACTCTGGAAAATAAAAAATAAAGATTAGGACTATTAATTTATGAATACCGGTACATGTAAATAATGATTCAATATTTTTAAATAGGCTACACAATGTTCTTTATTATATGTACACTTATAGCTGATAATAACTAGGACTAGGGGCTATCTTACTATCTAATTCATTGCTATTTGTATGTCAAAGCACTTTTATCACTTTGACTTTGTTGTTTTATCTCAGTATATGTATTAGTTTTATTGATCCAAAGCCTGCTCTTATATAATAACTATATAGGCCTAAAGTGTAATTATTATTAAAAACCAGTTATTAAAAAGTATATATTTAAAATCAAACTACTAAGTTATAATACAGGAAATATTTATTTAGTTGTTTGAAAAAGGTTTTAAATAATAATAACCACTGTTTACATTAGAGATTTACCACTTCCGGTAGATCGAGGGGGAAAAAATGGCCACGACTTGGCAACCTTGAATTTTTAGTCACACGGTTCAAGCTCTCATAAATTTTGGGGACGATCTATACTCTTTAAAATAAGTGTTTCTGCTTTTAAAATATATAATCTATGCGAACAAGTAATTTCCAAGTCCGAACGCGATTTGAAAAAAAAAATATAGCACAGCAAACTCACTTACCCCACGTCAACTTTCCAATTATTCGTCTCAGCAAGGTCAGATTTCCACTTAATTCATACCCTCGTAACCGGCATGCATCGCAGATTTAAATAAAACCAAGGAGAGTCCTCTATTTTTAGAAATGACGCAAAACAACACTAATCACCAAGATCTACCGAATACGAAAAGCGCCGGCTGATCACAGCGATCGCCGCTCGGCAGGCCTCGTTTTTCTATCACGGGCGGCGAAAGTATTGGAGTGCCTACACCAGAACTGAACTGAAGCGCATTAATTAATAATTAGTTATATAAAGGAAAGCCCCCATCTCTAATATTTATTACGCTTCTGGTGTGACTCATGGACTACTTCCATTTCCGGCTGCTTCCTAACAAGCTGGCTGCTTCCTATTCAGCATATTTGGTATTGAGAGTATATTACAAATAATTCTATATGTTTGAAAGTGATGTGATGGTTCAATAAGGAGTTCAATAGCGCACAAAATATAATTCCTGATAACTAGGCTAAATGATATATATATATTTTTTAATAACGCTACTGCCGTTGGTGTGTAATATTTTCCGGAAAATGAAGTCATTTCAATTTAAGTATGGTATGGTGTAAAAAATAATTCGATTTAAAAGTAGTTGGGACGTCAGAATATTTAATAATGGGCGTGAAATAAAAGTGTGCAGTGATGTATCATGGTCATGGGGGAAGGGGTATGATATAGCAAAAATTAAATGTGTGTTACCCGTACTTCAAGTTACTTGAGTTCATGTTTTTTTAAGTAACTTTAGTCTTTAGTAGATGGGAAGTTCAGGCATTGCTGTCGCTAATGTTTGGCGGGCTACATCTGTCTACCTTATTTTCCAGTTAATGCATAATGGCCGTGTTGCTTATGGTTGAAATGGCTAGAAAGACTTTGACATTGTAAGCTTGTAATTAGTTTTTGTAGTGTTGCGTTTGTTTTAAATGTGGTAAATTATAGATTTTTTTTTGTTGACTTTGTACCGCGCTTCGAGCCTTTGGGGATGAAGCGTGTTTTTGAAATGAACTTTATTATTATTATTATATATTAGCATAACATAAGGGTAAATTTTGAGAGAGGATGCCATGATTGGCCGCCATCTTGGTTGAAGAGACCATTTATTTCTGTCACTAAATCTAAGTAAATGTATCCCTAAACCTAACCTGAACCCTAAAATGTATCCCTAAACCTAACCTGAACCCTAAATGCCTAAACTAAATGTATCCCTAAACCTAACCTGAACCCTAATTCACAGCAACTTACTTTAATAAACATGCAAATGACGTCATGGCATCCTCAAATAGTTTTAGCCAACATAACTTGGCTAAATCCGAGGACGGCTGCCACAGCGTCTTTTGTGTGTTTATTATAGTTGCAGTGAATTAAGGTTTAGGTTAGGTTGAGGGATCGATTTAGGGTTCAGGTTAGGCATAGAGATCGATTTAGGGATCAGGTTAGGCATAGTATAGGGATCGATTTAGGGATACATACATTCGTGAAATTCGATAAAATAGTGGTAGGCGTCCCCATTGTTTACCCTTAACTTAGTTTCTTGACTTAGCTAACTTAGATCGGTACTGAGTTACTTAGGATTAAGCTGGGCCTAGAAGTTAGTGTAAGTTACAGCATAAAATTAAATTAGTAAAAGGCAGGCAAAGGTCACTAAAGGAGTAGCATTACATAACGTGGTTAGCCCATAACGTTATTACTTTTTTCAAATGGTGCCTATACAAAAGTATGATTATGATGTATTCTATTTACTGGAATACTTAGTATCACTTCAGTTTCCCTTAGTTTCAGTATAAAATATGGCTCATCTCTACTTTAAGTAAACAGTGTAATAGCAGAAACGGAAGTAGCTCGCTACACATAAACATAGTTACATTTGGCCAAAAAAAGCTTTTTATTCGAAAATTTTAGAATGATTTTTTTTCTTGAATGTTGCTTCTTGATTTATAATATTTATTCTACTAAATAAAATTCAAAAATAACTACATTTAGTTTATTTATTTAAATTGAATTAATTAAGCTTATTTTATAATCAAATTTATGTATTGTTTTTAAGACACCAAATCTGAATTTACCTGGTCATTTGTTAGCCATCTTGGAAATAAATTTTACATTTTCTCACATTTTCTTTTGCTTTAGAAATATAATTCTACTATCAGTTATTATACTTTCTTCTTGTTATGTATAAAAAATATTAAGGTCAATAATGCTGATTATTTATTTTGGCTAATTATTGAGTGAGGCTTATTGAGGTTTTATACAAAAGTTATTGAAGGGTAAGGTAAATTCATAATTTATTTTAAAGAATTTTAGGAATTAATGGATTTGATATCTCAACCACGTTTTATTGTCTATCTGTAACATGTTGTGCTAAATAAAGTATTGACATTGTGCAAAATTAAAACTAAAATATAACATAGGCTACTTTTAATTTTATTATTACCGTAAATAAGCAGATGCTAACCATTCTCATTCAACCTGAATTCAAATCAAAATGAGTATGAGTCAAAAATGTCTTCTAAATGTTGAAAATACCATACTGAAATGTTGATGTATCTACTTTCACTTTCTTGTCTTATACTAAGTTATACTAAACTTAAACATTGACAGTAAAACTAAATTGAGTTGGTCTCCGTCCCTCTAATTCTTAATTAATCAATTTAGTTTGTTATTTTTTAGGCTACTGACTGCGGTATTTTAATCACTGTTCCTGTTCTGTCGCTACATTATCAGGACAGTTGAACTTTGTGTTGATAAATTTAAAATTTATTTTGGAAAGATAAAGAATATAAATATTATATAAATATATGCTGAACATCCTTTCCAGTTTTAGTATTTAAATTAGCCTTCTTGATTCTTATAAAATTTATAAAAGTGCCATTGATTATTAAGCACATTATCTTCTCTTCTAAAATACTATTTAAAAAATTAAAAATTAATTAGGCTTAAACATAATGATAATGACATGGACATGGAAATTTTATGGAGTTTTTATATCTGTTTGACATCACAAATGCAGTAATTTTGTCCTGGGAAATTCCAATAAATAATTATTCAAGGATGTCATGCAATATTAAATCTTATTAAGTTTCAGACAGCTGATTTGGGGTAAAACCTAACTTTATTATGATACTGGGAATCAAGTTCACCTGTTGGCCACCTCTTACATTAAATAATGGACCACAAGTCTGACTAGTTGTAAAACCTTCATTTACCCCTTTAATAATGTGATCTCTTGCAGCTTAGTAGAGCAAAAAAAATATACCAACCTCACAAACGCATTATTTTAATTAAAAGAATCATAGCCCTTTATTGTTATTTTCCTCAAACTTATATTTATCAATTCCTCATGTTGACAAAATACATTCATATTCAGAGCTAAAAAAATGATAATCTACTAAAAGGGGTTGATGTTCACTGAATTGAATACTGCTTGGTATTCTAACATCATTATTTTTTTATTTTTTTTTAAAAATATTTCATACATAATCTATTAATTCCATATAATATACATATTACTGTACCAGTATCTTTACTAATATTATTTATTTACATTTTTTACTCAAAAATAAAAGATAACATTCATGCATTGTTTTGTATGAGATTTAGCTAATTTTTAGATTTTAAAATTAATTCTAAAGTTTTTGTATGCTTTTTCTATAGGTTCAAGTCTTTCAACTTACACTATGAACTCTCAAGAAAGTTTGGTCCAGGATCATAATTTGCAGATAGCAAACTTAGCAACTGTTAATGGCCTAGAAACATGCCCAACCTCTATCTGCATACCTGGCTTTTCTGGTCAAAGCAAAGCCATTGTTGTGCAACTGAACACAAACTCTGGATCAAGTGGCTCTACAAAATTCAAAAGCTTGTTACCTAAAAGCTTGCTGAATAGTCCAAAACCAGATTCTGAAATAGATTCTTTTCATGTGATCAGTGAAACAGAAATGCAATCCAATACTTTTACAACCAATTTTACTGGATTTCCACCAGTAGACCTTCTGGTAAACCAGCAGGGTTGTGAAACAGAAAGCAAAGACAACACATCTAATGGAAACATAGAATATAGCAGCTCTGTTACCACTAATGAGACCATCGAATCAATACTAAGACAGCTCAATACAATGCCCTCAGTTAATGCTTTAGAAACTAGTGATGTCAAGCAACAACCAGAGCTTGAGCAAAATTATGACAAATGCAGTTCATTTCAGTCTCTACAGAATATGCCAGAAACTATAACATCACAGTCTCTTGTAAACAATACATCAACTAACAACATGAACTTTCAAGTATCTTCATCATCACACACTTCAACTGAGGAGTTGGAAAAGGATCAGGAAGTTGTTAAAAAGACAATGGTTGAAGCTTTTGTAAAAATGGTTGTTTGCAGAAAGGTAACTGTGCAGAAGGTTCATGCAAAAACTGGACAAATTCTGGAGACCAAAGTCAAAACAGTGAGTCTTTAATTAATTTCAATAGGCACTATGTAAACATTGTTATCATACTATATACTAATCATTGGGTGAAAAATTACATCTTTTGTGGGGAGAGAGGAAGTTAGTTTATTTTTTAGTTTATTTTAGTAATAACATAAGTAAATTAATACTAAGCAACTAAGAAATTTTAGTGATTAAGAGGCAATAAGCTTCTTATCTTTCTTCTTTATGCTGTTACCTCTCTTTTAGTTCATCAAGTTTTATTTTTTCTGTGGTTATTGGCATTGGACCTCTGATCTTTCCTCTTCATCCAGGACATTGTTATAGATAAATGTTATTTATTTACTGTTTCTAAATAGTAACCCTTCATCTCTTGTTACTGTGGTTGAAATTATCTAAATGCCTAATTATTGCCTACTGCTTGAATGAGATTTACTGATTTTGTCATTAACTTGATTAAGCAGAGAATTACTTCACTCCCCAGTCAAAATTTATTCATATGCATATTAATATACAGTGTACCCTCAATTTTCACAGTTTCTTACTGCACATTTAAAGCATTGCATGATAATATAATTCTGACGTCATATGCTTCAAAAATGTTTGATTGCATGAATTTTTACTTCTAAATCATAAATAAAAATGTGCATTTGAAGAGCACAATGTGTTGCAAACTTAGATTAATGTATGACTTCAGACTGGACAATGCTTTTTCAAACTGTATCCCTGGGTAAATCGAGGGAAACTATATTTATATATGTGGATCGAAAAAATTTCTTTTAATAAATCTTCTTTTCAAATCAAACAGGAAGAGGAAGAGCCTGTCATACTTGGTGTGGACTGTGTGGAAACAACAGAGGATTTTCTTTCAACACCATCATCAGAGTTGGCAATGGAACATGCAGCTGATTTTGCAACTACAAAATGGGGGACATCCTTAGATGGTGGTCTAAAATTTCTGAGTGCAGTCTCTGAAAGTAGGCAAAAAATAGGGAAACATTTAATCAAAGACAAATTATTAAAATCTACTCTGCAAAAAGGGATTAATTTATCCAAGATAATGGAAGCGAAATCCCAAATAGAGCAACCTGACGTTAGACGGTCCAGTGACATGGCTGCTGAAGATAAATCTAGTAAAGATGATTCTGTTATTAAAAATGAGCAATTAACAGAAAGTGAAAATGAGGATTGGAATGAAGACTTAAACGACGACAGCGAAGATTATGTCCCAAAAGTTCGCTCATCAGCATCCTCAAAATTAAATTCAAGATCTCAAACAAGTGAAGCCAATGATAAAAATAAGTCCCCCATGAACTATACTGGGGATGAGTCTGTTGTGTTGCTGCCAAAGAAAAGGGGAAGGAAGAGAAAATGGGACAATGCTCTAGGAATGGCATCAAATCTCAGATCGTGTGTCTTTTGTAACAAGCATTTTAGTAGCACAACCGCATGTGCAGAGCATATGAAGATTGGAAAATGCATTTCATCATTGTTCTGCTTCATTTGCTCTAAGCCATTCACCAGTGAACAAGAGCTAGAAAAGCATTTGTCTACACATTGTAATGAAAGAAAGCCCAAAGTGTTTGAATGTGTTGACTGTTATCGGTCTTACAGAACACGTGCTGGATATGAAAAGCATTTTAGAATGGGCACCTGTTTAAAAAGAGACGATTATGAAGATGTCTTCACTGGACCACTGCAATGTGATCTTTGTCCATCCCGTTTTAGTACACCGGGTTACCTGAAGCTGCATCGCTATAAAGTTCATGAAAACCCAAAGGATGCACACACTTGCACAGATTGTGGGAAAAAATTTTACAGCTCTGTTGGTTTTATTAAGCACAAGAATGGCAGACCATGTACAGAGCCCTTGAAGTGCTGGGTTTGTGGGAAAACCTATTCTAGCAAGGCAAAGGAAAGTTTTAAAATTCATATGAAACACCATAAATCAGAAGTGGGAGGCATCACATATCACTGTGAAGAGTGTGGCAGAGGCTACATGACTCAAATGGCCCTTACAAAGCATAAACTTTCTCACACTGGGGTCAAACCATATAAATGTGAGACTTGTGGGAAAGCATTTGCAATGCGTTACATGGTAAAAGACCATGCCCGGATGCATACAGGTGAAAGGCCTTACCTTTGTAGCTTGTGCGGAAGTGCATTTAGTAATAAGGGACATTTAGGAAGGCACTTAAGATCTCATGAGAACAGAACTTTGTTAAAAAGAGGTCGGCCGAAGAAAATTAAAGAGCCAGGGGACAATGTTGGGCAGGAAACTGAGTTGAAAATTATAGATCTGGCCAGTTTTGATGGCCAGGCTATACAGGTAGTGGATGGACAAATGTTTGAGTCCCAAAATCCTGGGGCGGCAAAGATGATAATTCATGCCAACAATAATACTATTATCATAGCTGAAGGTTGGCCATCCCAAAGTACTCCTGGTTCTGCTCTAACTCTTTCAAGTTCCCATGACATAACAAATATTACTAACAATATAAACTCTTAATTGATTTCTTATTATTATTTAAATTTTTAATTAAATTAATTTCATGTATCGTACTTACAAATGTATAAAATTACATTGGCTTTACAATGTAGTTCTGTTATGTGAGATCTATGAAAAGATGTAGATTTTTAAAAATAAATTTGTAGAGAACTTGTTTTGCCTTAGCTATTTGTTTCTTCTATTTTGCTTGAATATTTAGTTTTTTATTTAAAAGTTATATCAAAGATAGGGTAATATTGTATTAATATTGATACATATTATGTTTACTTTTTTTTTTCAATAAGATTATTGTATTATTTCTCGTGTAATAGAAAGGTTCTTGTAAAAAATAATATGCAATTTTATACAAAACAACAATAAAATATGTATAATTAATTAGTTTTAAAAAGACAAATTATGCAAATAGGAAATTATACTAAACCTATGTAGTGGTTCTATAAGTGTTAAAAATATTATAATATCTTTTTTATAGTTGGGGGTGCGAGAAATGTTTTTTTTTTTTTTAATTTAAGAGTTGGTTGCGGCACTGAAAAAAGGTTGAGAGCCCCTGCTTTAGTATCTGTAAGCAAACTCTGTCGCCTTGACAATTTTCAACTTGTATATATGGTTCTCTTGACTTCATCATTTGTAATAGTACCTACATCAATTTAAGGTTATCTTTGGTCTCAGGAATATGTGCAAGTGCTGAAAAGAGCAGTGCTTTTTAAGAGATTAAAAGACTTAATTGCAATAAGTAGGCTACTATAATTGTAAAGTTAAATATTATGCAACAGCAGTTCATTCTTTTGTATCAAATTAAATAGGCTATAGGTAGGCATTTTGATAGAAACTTAAAATATTGTCCTATCGCCATAAATACATCTGATCAATTGAAAGTACCGGGTAACAAATTGTTTTAATTTTCTTCTACAAAAAGCCAGATTTATAACAACTCTTGCAAACATTGAATTTGGGGCCGAGCCCTTTCAGTGAATATCCAAGCTTGATTTAAAGACCAAATCAAACTTTTAAAAGATATGTTATTAAAAAACTTATGGCAGTTGTTCAATTAAAATGAAAAAGGATCCTCATTCAAAAAGGGATACAATAGTTATCAGTATCAGTACGAAAAGGGATTCAAGTTTATTGTTCAAATGTATCCCATTACACATTAAAATGAGAAGGAATTTTGCAAACATTTTGCCTTTTAACTTTTACTAATGGGGGCCCCAGCTCCAAGCAACCTACTCTTTAATATTTTACACAAGTGAGTATTCTAGGTTGAATAACGAACAAACACTATTTTAAAAATTGTCCCATTAAAATTTGTTGAAAAACGCAAAATAAATTATTTATTTTAACTGAAACTGATCACCTCCTTCCTTTAGTCCATACAAAAAGATGAGGTTGTTATTATTTTGAACTCCACCAATATTTTCAAAGGCATTGTGAAACGTTTGTTTACCAAGTTTGGCCTAGATGCAAAACTGTACGTAACATAAGAAACACAAAAAGGACATTTATATTATGTGGAACTGTACGCCACGCTTTTACGAAACAAAGCGTTCATCACCCAACAGTCTCGTGGAATTTGACGTAGGGGTTATGCTACCACAACATTGCATGAACGACTTCTCTCCCCCCACTTAGGTAGTGAACTTCCATTTGTGCTTTTTGTGTGCGTTCAATAATTTATTTCTTAAGGACCCGTGGGTATTAATTTTTAAGGTCATGATTATATTAAATGTTAAATTGTATTACAGCGTGGTGAGCTATATAAAACTTACTACTACCAATAATAATAATATATTATATCTTGCCAGACATTGGGATTTTATTCTCAATATCCAAGCCTTAGTATATTTGCAAGTAAACCTTTAAGGATATTGTAATATTAAGTAATTAAGGGACTTTTCACATTCATCCAACTCAGAGGTCTTAAACTCGCGGCCCGCGGGCCATTTCCGATAGTTTGAACTTAATTATAATAGTAAAACCCGTTTTAAAATAGAACTAAAAGTTTTTTTTTTAATTTTATTGCATTTGATGAAACAAACATGGCCAAAGTGCGGTTTTGAGAAAAGTTTAAAAAGTCAGTTAATGGGTAATGCTCAACTATAATTTTGTAAATCGTAGCAATCTGACACAATATCAAAGAATCCCTATTAAAATTGCCGCTAGTGTTTACGAGTGAGGGAAATTACGAGTCTGTCAGCTTGAAGGCAGCTTGGTCACTTTCAAAATAGGATCAGTCAAAAATTCCCTTTTCACGATTTAAAAAAAAAAAATTCATTCTCCCTACACCAGCATCTTCCGCCGGATCAATAATTCATAAATATTGCTTGTTCCTGCCGACTTTTGAACACGTTTTAGCCTTCAAAGTCTTCATGGAGAAGAATGGGGTGGTCGTTCCTGTACTAAGTGATTCTCATGGACTTGGCTTTTCTTGTTGACATTACACAGGAGCTTTATGTACTCAACAAGAAGTTATAAGACCAGGGGCAGCTTGTCAGTGTTGCCTATGACAATGTCAGAGCATTCTGCACAAAACGTGTGTTATGGTTCTCGGAGAAACTTCTGCAAAGTACTCATGGACTCGGGCGCACCATTCACTAGTATTATACTGATGCCATTGTAAAGCTACAGGAAGAATTGGATCACATGCTTGCAGACTTCAAAACACAGAGAAACTTTTTTTTTTTAATTTCTGACCCTTTCTCCTTCAATGTGGAAGGTGCCCCCAACCCCACCTTTTCTTTCTTTGCGCTTCAAATGGAGCTGATTGATCTTCAGTGCAATTCTGAACTCAAGGCTAAGTTCGGGGAGGTAAATGGAAAAATAGACAAGCATGGACAAATTATGAAAGCATTGGCCTTCACCTTCCCTGAGATTTACAGATTGTTCAAGCGGATCATGTGCTTTTTTGGGAGTACCTATCTGTGTGAAAAGCTCTTTTCCACTATAAAATTTAACAAGTCAAAGTTCAGGGCATCTTCAAAGTACACTGAGGGTCTCAGTTGCGTCTTCACTCAACCCACATGTTGCTCAGCTGTGTAAGAGGAAGCGATGCCCCATCTCTGGCAACAAGGAGTAGGAAGAAGAAAGTGAAGACTAATTATTGAGAACACTTAATGTTTTTATTTGTTATTAATAATGATTGAGCAGATTGTAACAGTTGTTCGTTATTGTATTTGTCATCGCCTTTTTTTTTTTGCGGAATACTTGATGCGGCCCAGTCTCATTCAGAATTCAGACTGTACCTCCTCCAGCCCCCGAATAAATGGAGTTTGAGACCCCTGATCCAACACCTTCTACTTAAAATACCACAAAAACCATTCAACTTATATAAATATAAAATTATATGTTAGATAGCCGAAACTAAACGTGTTAGATAGCCGAGACATAACGTGAACAGAGAAACATTAGTCTTTGGGGTCATGGGCACCCGCAGGTAGGGGCAAGGTGGGGCTCTTGCCCCCCCCCCTGGATTGATTTGATAAAAAAATTTTAGACAAAAATAGACAAAAAATGTATTAAAGTAAAGAGAAAATAAAGAGAAAGTAACTACGCTGATGTCCTGTCCGTTCGTTCACCATACAAATACGCTACAGTAAATTAAAACTATACATTAAAACATTACTAAACAAAATGTTGCGCCCCCCCCCTGGAAAGTTAATTGATTTTTTTGCCCCACCCCTAGAAAGTTTTCTGCGGGCGCCCATGTTCGGGGTGTTGGTCCTGGATTTCGACTTATTCGGGTTGGTGTCTCTGTGGATTGTCAATTTACTGCTGCAAATCTACCAGAAGTCAAGTATACGTAGACAGGCCTGGTCGATGTGTTTCGTAGTTGCTCTCTGGTATGTTCGAGCGATCTTATTGATAGGGAACACACAAATTATGGATTTTTACAGTCGAATTTTGAATCATATCCCTGAAGTGCGCCAGTGTTCACCGGTCCATTAGGACTCTGTAAGTTTAATCAAATACGCCTTAAATTTGTGTGTTTGTAGAACGCAATTTTTAGGTGTTTATAATGGAAGATGCATGTTCATTATTTATATTTGGCATTGTTTTAATCACTCGTTAGCAGCGCCGTCAATTGTACTTGATTACTTGCAACTATAAAATTGTGATGGTTGAACATACAGCGTCCACTGAGTTCGTACATGGAATTAGATACCATTGCGTACATAAGCATAATACCCACCGTTATATCGTTCTGGTTTCTCATACTCAGTGCCGTCTTATACTTATTGCATGGGCCCACTGAGCACTGGCCCAGTGTCTCACGCTTCTAGTGGTCTCAGGCTTCTAGTGGGTCTCAGGCTTCTAGTGGGTCTCACGCTTCTAGTTCGTCTCACGCTTCTAGTGGGTCTCACGCTTCTAGTGGGTCTCACGCTTCTAGTGGGTCTCACGCTTCTAGTGGGTCTCACGCTTCTAGTGGGTCTCACGCTTCTAGTGGGTCTCAGGCTTCTAGTGGGTCTCACGCTTCTAGTGGGTCTCACGCTTCTAGTGGGTCTCACGCTTCTAGTGGGTCTCACGCTTCTAGTGGGTCTCAGGCTTCTAGTGGGTCTCACGCTTCTAGTTCGTCTCACGCTTCTAGTGGTCTCAGGCTTCTAGTTCGTCTCACGCTTCTAGTGGTCTCAGGCTTCTAGTTCGTCTCACGCTTCTAGTGGTCTCAGGCTTCTAGTTCGTCTCACGCTTCTAGTGGTCTCAGGCTTCTAGTTCGTCTCACGCTTCTAGTGGTCTCAGGCTTCTAGTTGGTCTCAGGCTTCTAGTGGTCTCAGGCTTCTAGTTCGTCTCACGCTTCTAGTGGTCTCAGGCTTCTAGTAATCTCAGGCTTCTAGATCGTCTCACGTTTCTAGTGGGTCTCACGCTTCTAGTGGTCTCAGGCTTCTAGTGGTCTCAGGCTTCTAGTTCGTCTCACGCTTCTAGTGGTCTCAGGCTTCTAGTGGGTCTCAGGCTTCTAGTTCGTCTCACGCTTCTAGTGGTCTCAGGCTTCTAGTGGTCTCAGGCTTCTAGTGGGTCTCAGGCTTCTAGTTCGTCTCACGCTTCTAGTGGTCACAGGCTTCTAGTGGTCTCAGGCTTCTAGTGGTCTCAGGCTTCTAGTGGTCTCAGGCTTCTAGTTCGTCTCACGCTTCTAGTGGTCTCAGGCTTCTAGTGG